ATTTTCACCTTCCTCTAATTAGTAACACATACGATGTAGTAATGATAGATACTGCTTAGCTGCCTTGTTTTGTTGTCATCTTGGGGGACTGGCACCCACAGAGGGCAGAGAGCAGCTTGTGTTGAAAAAATTGATGTCTGGGCAACAATTATTATTTGCCTTCTCTAACCTAATGATTTATTTGTGAACTTATTCATTTACTTATTGTATTGATTTAATTACTTATTATTTATGTTTGTATAGATTTGGTTCTTATCCGTGACCCCTCCCCTCAACTTCGACCTTGTTGAAAAGCGGCCTTGTGCCGAACAAGCATTCGAAGGAAAATAAAGGCTTTGACTTGACTTGACTTGAACCAAATGCTAGCAAAAAGTTACTTTATGTATGTAAGAGTATGAAGAAACATGGGGACAATTGTTCGCTAGGAAAGAATGCTAACCATGCATCCCGAGTAGCAGTGGAATACTGCAGGCCCTCTGAGAGCAAATTAAGGAAGGGAAGAGTAGAGGATACAGAGACAAATGGGTATCCTGGGGGTGAAGAGCAGAAATAAGAAGCAAGGTGGGACAAATGGACTGACCAGTCAATTGGAAAGCTCATTAGAACAGACAAACCAAGCTGGGAAATGGTCATGTAAGGACAAAGACACATCCCTGTAGTAGAGAAAAATAGAAAAAACATCTCTGTCTTGTAATGTTAGGTGACAGAGGTCATGTAGGGACAGAATCAAGATAAACCTTGTTATAGGGAAAACCACAAGTCAGGAAACAAGGTCTCCACCTTAATTAGGGAGATCTGTGGGCCCCTAGACCCTGTGGTAATTAGAAAGTACAGGCCAATTCTGGCAATGGTTTTGAGACACAAGGAAGACTTTAGAATGATGACAAAACACTTCTCTGGAAGGGAAGTGAGCTTGTTGGTAGGGAACACTTTTGCCATGTTAAAAAGGTGAAGTTTAGCTTAAAATGATGTATGGAGAAACATTGTTGAATCCACGAAGATTGATGAATAACAAGAGGTATACTGTAGTTTTGTGTTGAAAGAGAATTGAGGACCAGTTTTTCGAATGAACAGTCTTCTGCAATTGGTCCCAATGTATCCAGGGCAAAATATTCCTGCAAAAGTACAATGTAAAAAAATTCTGAGTAAGTCTTACATTTTAAACTACATGTTTTTTTCTTTACTGCTGTTTTTGCTACATGTCAACAATGTGAACATCCCCAGGCCTATTTCACACCAGAAGAAATGTGTCCAAATGTTGTCTACCAGGTGTACAAAAATGAAGCAATTCCTTCACCTATGATTTGTGCAATCAAAAATTTGATGTGCCGTGTAACTTGATTTGCCCCACACACTTCTGAGTCAGTTAAGGGAGGAGAAGAAGGTACATGTACTTAAGTCCTACTAATTGGTGTATTGCTCAAAAGACCTGCAAAGTGCTTTGGGCTTATTAGCTCGAACAGGAAAGGGTGCTTTGCAGAGCTCATCATTTCTTGCTTTCTTCAGTTAACACCAGAAAACAGCCCAGAAAGAATTTTCTCATCAAAACATTTTTAATTTCTAAAAGATTGACTGGAATACATTGAATACATATAACAAGTAATCCCTGGTATGCTCTATCATCAAATGTTGAATCACACCTCTCCAAAACCTTCTATGTCAGTGCAACATTACCACACCTTGTGGACAATCTGCTGACATCACTGGACTAGTAAGAGGAAATGTCAGTCTTATCTCTGTGTCAGTTGTTACAGTTTCCTTCCTTCCACCCCCTTATCTGTTCCATGTATCAGACTTTTGAGACCTGTATTTGGTGGGTAGGACAGAGATAACACTACAGATATGTCCCCCTTGCACAGTTCCCACAGATTGGAACCCGTAGTGCTGGATCGAAAGAGTCGCTTAATGGTTGCGGTGGGGTCATTATGACTTGCATAGGTCAAGTTACTTTAATTGAACAACAAATTTTTTGTGACCCCTGAGCTTTCTCAGGCACTCCCTCAGGGTCAATGGACATACTAGGCTGAAATATCAGAATACTGTGCTATGTGTCCCAACCAGGCTCTATGGGCTAGTCAGCCAAATTTGCAAACCATTAAACCATTGACCCATATAGCTTTCCTGCTCTTTAAACTGTTAACTTAATTCAAACGCTATAATAGTGGCACAGTTACATTGTAGGTCGCTGCCCCTTCTTCTAACCTAACACAAATCACTTCGATTTTTAGGGGTTGTCAGAAAAAATTGTATACAAAAAATAAAGCTGGTTGTGAAATTGCATTGGAATGTCCAAGTAAATGACTGTAATCAGCTTGTGCTGTTGGTCCAGCCATTTTCATACATATGTCAGGATAATGAGTTGGGTATCTTGAGAGAATGTCCATAATAGGATTATATGTTCCAAATGATTTTCTCCACTTTATTTTTCATTGGAAGATAAAAGTACTTACTAGTCCTCCATTCATCTAAATGAAAAGTTGCTTCCAAATTTCCTTGAAACTTGGAAAGAAGAGTGCTCAGTCTATCATTTGTAAGTCATGTTAAATGGTGCTTATGTAAATGTGTGCAATGTGGCTTTTTCTCAACCTTGGTAGGTCTGCAAATAAATTTGGTTGACCGATTGGCAAGAACTTTGTTCATGAGCAACCATTTTCCCGTAATAAGACAATCCAATCAAGTTTCCCAGATGGTAACGTACTCAGGCCAGGAGTGGATTAATGCTGTTTGCTAATCTTGTGTGTTCATCACTTTGAGCTAACTATCCCAGGCTCTGGTTCTTTATGGGTCCAATAAGTCGTAATTATAGGGCAAGCAGTGGTGGAGAGATAGCGGAAACTGGCTCTAGAGTGGCAACTCTGCTGCCAGGTGACAGCTATTGATCAGGGGCAGAGCAAAAACCGCTTAGACCAGCTGTAATGCTGACAAGCAGATTTCCTGCATATCGGTGGAGTAAGGAAGCCGCTGCTTTACTTGTCTTATTGGGAGGGGAAAATCAATGCTGTTATTCTACAAGATCAAAGGCAAATGTCCGATGAAGACAGGCAATTACGCCTGATATTGCACTGCAGAGACAGGGAGCCAGAGCATGCCTTCCTGGGGACAAGCCTCAATTAATGGGGTCCTGTTCTAATGAATGGAAATGTCGAGGGGAAATGAAAACATGTTCAATGGGGGAACATGTCCGATAGCACTGGGTGGGCAATCGAAAACTATTGATCCCCACGCCCTGGCTAATGCAGGAGAGATTGGGCAGGAGTGGTTGTCTGTTGATGGGAAGCCATCTGTGAAATCTGCCGATGCAGGAATGGGTTCTGGAAGTGACCAAGGTAGGTCTTAATGCAAAGCCCCATTGTATCAGGTGCAGGCAGGATTAAGGACAGAATGAGGGGAATTACAAAAGTCAATGTGCAAGTGGAAGAGCAATGCATTACAATGGTTGATGACTTCCATACTGTGTGATCTGCAGCAGGTTATTACAGGGAGGTGGCTTCCTGTTAAAGCCCCGCTCTTCGATAAAGTCATTTTTCTGCAGACATCTTGGAATCAAAGAAACAATATAGGTGATTAGACAGGTCCAAGAGGAAGTAAAAACAGCATCCATTAAAATTTAAATGATCTCATTTTGCCAGGATATTCTAGTGAGGATTGGTCCAGGGAATCTTCTACAATTTTCTGTCATAAAAGATGAGTTGGCAAACTTACTACAAGATGTGGAGTCTCCTCCTAAAACTATTAGTAGTATCATGTCAAAACCACAGGTTCATCCAATATCAAAAAGACTATGGCGTTAAACTGATGATAGCTGCAAATATCTGTGATCTTGTCCAAAATACAAGGCTGTTGTAAAGTTGGCATCTACATAAGACTGACCTTGCCCCCTGGAATTTTGATGACATCCCCTTCCCAATGATGAGTAAACATTTAAGCAAATACAAGCTTTTGGTTATACATTTTCCATAACGTTACATGTTCCATGAACAGAATGCTTTCAGTTTGTTGTTTAATTACTCATTTACCATCCATGCCAGAAAGCCACAGTTCACCTAGCATGCGTAACTATCATTAATTACCATTTAGAAACTTCCTAACAGAAAAAGAAGTATCACAGATAAAGTTGTTACATCCAATATCCCTTCTTCATGTACTGCCAAACTTCCAGGCCAAAGTAAATGTGAATTCTTAATGCAGAGTTTAGAAAAGTTCTGTACGCTCATCAGGAGTACTTTCGATCCCAAAAATCGATCTGTAAGGATTGAGGAGCAGTGTTTCATAAGTACAGCTTTAGAATGTTTCCTGAAGAGCTTTCTCCCCACTTGACTGTGAACTGAGAGTACTCAAATACAAGAAAAATTTCCACTCGTAATCGAACCCAGCAGGTCAACACTGTATTTTCCTCAGGTCAACAGGAGAACCTGACTTTGAGGAAGCTTAAAGTTGAAGGTGGGAGTGCAGGTTAAGTTAAGTGCACTGAAGTGCTTATACCAATAACGTTAGTAACATACATTCCCTTCCTTCAGTAATTGACTACTTTTGAATGAACTTTTCTCCAATGTCCGATGAAGTGGCCTTTTTCAGATTTTTTTTTCTAGAATTACTGGGATCTATGCTACTTTATATAAGGTAGTGTCAAAAGGGTTTTCAGACTCTTTTCAACAAATGAGCTAAACGGATGACCACCTGTCACCAACACACCAGTCAGTGTGGCACACCTACCTGCTTGTCATGGCCCTTCCCACATTCAAAGATTCTTCATGTTAACCTACATGTTGACTATAACTAAAGTCACAATCACATGCATCACTTGACAACTCAGCTGTGCCTCTCAAAAGAATGTTATTTTTGGTCCAAATGACTTCATTCATTGAACAATGCCTATCATGTTTGACTATTTTCAGGAACTGTTGTACATGTATTTCATTATCATTGGTTTCATGTTGTCTTAGACAGTTAGTGACAATTGAGTTTTGCAAAATTCTAATGATTTTTTTTCTCTTATTCAGCCTTTGTGATTCAGGCCATTTTCATGACAGCGGTGGGCTTCACCCATGATGCAGTGGCAGCCATATCGTGTCTGACAGTTGCCATCGGTGTAGGAGGGCTGGCATGGTCGGGCTTCAGTGTCAATCACCTGGACATAGCTCCACAGGTTAGTCACATATTACATCCACTATAAATTCCAGGATATTGCTATACATGTACTTTGTTGTTATTTTCTGGATTGAATCTATCTGGATTGATTTCGTAACAATTTACATAATTAAAGAAATGGACAGACAAGAAAGATAGGTAAAACAACAAAGTAACTTAATAAAGAACGAAAATGTCACAAAGCAATTAATTTAGATGTCATAAATGTAACATGATTGCTGTATACATGTAGGACATATTTCTTTTATGTTCAAATTTTTCCAGCCTATTTGGAGCTACTTTTACTCCATTAGATTTATTTTCTGGGTTTATGGACACATCTCTTTATGTGATCAAGGTCAGTTTCTTGGAAACCACAAATGGTTCTTTGAAATAACATGCATTTTCTTGAATAGCTATCAACCCTGTCATGTATTGCAATGATTTAGCAATTTCCCACCTCATTTCTGCATCCAGCTGTGAAAATCTATTAATAGAGGACAGGAGAAACTGTTACAGTATCTATTGGGTATGGTACATAACAGATGGAAGTAGACATCATTTTTGTATATTCAAGGTAAAGTGTGCTGCTCAAAATTGGTCTCCAATGAAATATTAATAAGGCAATCACTCTGGCATTTTCAAAGAAATAGGCTAATTGGGCCCAACAACAAAAGAAGTGATCACAATGAGGATATGCAGGCTTTGTCCAACACTCTTGACCATGAATAATAAGTATACATGTATCATGATGGTGTCACACTTGTTGCACCTGTTTGATGCCATGTGGAAGAAACTGTTATCTCCTGTTCTTAATTACTACAAGTGTGCATTGTGTACAATATTATGGGAAAACACTTTAGAAATAATGCCCAAATTTGTCAATGTCTAATGGCATGAATACTGTTGCTAATGCACATGAACATTGTGAAAATTATCTGCAATATTTTATTGACATGATTATTAATGTTACAGTTTTTCTCCTGCCCTTTTGACCACCAGTTTGAAGCAAAAGACACACTTTGTTGTCCTTCAAGAAAAGCTCAACTGATCTGAATAAAACTGACGTGTATCTAGTGCATAGTCTTATTCACAGGGCTGTTACGTGTCTTGAATAAAACATGTTTTCATTTTGTAAATTGATCGCTGATAGTAATCCACCCAACAATGACGTGAGTTTGTGATAATGCGATGTGTCATACATGATGGCTTCCTCAGGGAAAGGTCAATGGTCTGTAGGGCTAATCTTGTTAATGCCATGCTTAAGTATGGGATGAAATAGGTGGGTGTTGTTGTATTGTTGCATAAATAATGAGTTTGGTGGCCATCTGAAAAGAGCATGCACAGGGAAATGACTTGTACTTCTGCATTTCATCACAACATTATTTCAAAAGATAACAGGCAGACTTGATAAATGAAGTCAGTGACCAATAGCAACAAAGTAAAACACAGTACCTACAAAAATTGATGCTTTGGATTATCATAAAAACAGATTAGGAAGACTAGAACAAGAAGAGTCAAACAAGTGAATACAAAACTGTTGTTTGCACATGGCTGACAGGGGGCATTGCTTGTCCAAACTCACATTTTTCTATCAGAATTTCATGACCAGTTGAACACTCAGGTATAACAGATGTTGACTCTGCTGTATACTACGTCTGGCGTCGTCAGCTCGGGTCCGAGCATCTGGGTTCGTGTCGTCTCATCCTCAGCTGTTCTGGGGGTGTCGATGTCTTAGGTGGCTGGTCAGGCCTAGTGAAGTATAAAAACGTCGGGGGCACTTTGTGCAAGTCAGACTAGGTGGCGGTCGCGGGAGGAGGAGCCGCTCTTGTCGTTTCCGTCTCTTTGCCTCTGCTGTCATCCGAGTTTTAATATATGTTAAAGCATGATTCTAATGGACATAATGAATACAATGCAGTGTTGAACATGGCTGTATTGACTGACCAATACATCCTAACCAACCTACTGTGTACGTAGCTAACATTACATGTTTTCTGAGGAAACATAGTTCAGTTTTTAAGTTACCATGGCTTTAATTTTTTTCTTTGCCAGTTTATCATAACATACCATAATTTCAGCAGACTTTAGCCTGCTGTTATCACTTGTTGGTTGAATGATTTGTCTGTCCCAGTTATCATAGTGTCCTTGATCTCTGCTGAAGTGTTTGAATCAACCTGAATAAGCTGTCATGTGTGATGTCGGCAGGTCTTGCTTGTGATAAATGGTACGTGTTATTTTGCAGTATGCCAGTCTGTTGATGGGTGTGTCCAACTGCATAGCAACCATCCCTGGTATCGTCAGCCCCTCTGTGCAGTCGAACCGCAGACCGCTATGCGCATCGGTTCTGCGCAGCTCTCTCTAAGATCTCGTTTAAATCTCGCGCTTCTTTTCCAAGGTAATGTGATCCGCGAGAATCCGCGAGAGTTTGCTACTGTTTACTGTTTCGCTTGTAACTCCGATTTGCGTAAGTTCTTCCTTGTCATACGTTAATGTGAGATGTAAGAAGGGCCGGCGTCACGTTTAAGGTCGTAGATGTACATTACCCGTGGTGTTTGTTGGAGAAACGAGGTTTCAAAGTTGACCGTGTATGATGGAGATCATTCCACTCGAGATAGGTACCCTTTAGTTTTTTTGGGGGCAAACCCGTTTGCCCTACTTCATCGTCGATTTGGTGTATTGTTTAATAAAGTATAGACCGTCTCTCATCTATCGTGTGTTGTTTCTTTTGGGATCCTGTAGTTGTTACAATGTAATAACCGATAGAAAGTTGGGCTTATTCAGTCGAATTCTCAACGATTTTTGTTCGAATCGCAAGCTTTTGCAACTAGTTCTAACCAATTCACCTGTAATGTAAGATATGGCTGAAATATGGTTATGTTGGCTTGACACCTGTGTACTTAGTTTTGAAGTTGCACAATGTGTATTGCAGCTCGACCTTGAGAAAAGTGTAATTTCTTTACAGTTTCTTTGCCTTTAAAAATGTTCTGTTAAAAGTTATATAGAAAAAAAAGAAAGTGAAAGAATATCGACCAAATAGTAAGCTTCAAAACGATACCCACTTTACGGATGAAAACATAAGAGAAGGAATTTGGGCATGAACAAATACAACAACAGGTTGATTTTTCATGACCTAATTTTTGAAGGAGAAATCGCACACTATGACCTGTCACTGTAAATATACAAACATCGGGCATATGTACTGACATTGGTATAGTTGCACATGAATCCCACTTTCTCTAGCGTCTTCATGATATAAGTCTGACTTGGAATGGGTTTTAGAAAGTCTGTTTGTGACGAAAAAACTTGATTACTTCTTTTTATGAACTTTCGCAAACAGCGGTTGAAAGTTGCAACATTGTTGGCGGCGCGAAAAATGGAACGCGCTGCCTTGGTTCCATGGATCGAACGCAGGAGTTCGAAACCGATTGACTTCAAATTTGACAATTTTTGAATGGTCAGAACCTTGTATTAAATTCCTCTTTTTGTATATAATTGAATGGTATCATATCACTTATTATATTGCATGTGGTAGCCACATTCATACAGTTTCTCATACCAAGAAACGAATTTTATGACATTTCGCGAAATGTATCAAAATGTAGCGGAAACTCAGGATGGTGTGTGTCAGTATCTTACAACTGGGCTAACATTTGACCACCGCGATGTGCGCATCGTCACAGTTTTTTTGGGGGCAAACCCGTTTGCCACAAAATTTACCAGGGGTCATTGGTATCAATGTAAAGGTAAAGAAGTGGGCTATCACACTGTGGTATTAGCTAACGGGATCCAGTTAAATAGTAAAAAAAACAAGCACAAATAAAATGACCAAAAATTGCTAATTTTTGGAAGGCCGTAGCGCTCGCTGTCATTTTGCAATGCACGAAATATCTACATGGTTGTACTGGGCAAATCCTGTAGATATGAAAAAATGTAAACATTGTGTAGGTCTGAGGTCTTTTTGCTGCACTATAGGCAGTTGTTTACACCCATGCAACGGGGTCAAATCGTGACCCGGCAAACGCCGTATCTTAGAGAATAACGCGTTCTACGGTGACCTGCGGTTCGACTGTGTGGTGGGACAGCTTGTGCAACACAAGGTCAGAGGTCACAAAGAAGAGTCCTTTTGGACTTTTGTAAAGTATTCATTATCATTGTGCAGTTGGTTAAATACAAGAGCCATAGCTGCATTCCACTATTAGCTACTAGGAAAATCATCATGCTTCACCTCTAATCTCCACCAGACTGAATAAATAGTAGAAATCAGCCTATTAGTAAGAAGAATGTAGCTGGCCAGGGGCGTTGTCCGGCCAACTGGACTCCCTATGGCAGACCAACTGCCCTCGCCAGCTACATTTGTTTTAGGCTGATACCTGCAAAGGAGTGTGGAGACTACCACTCTGGTGGAAGGTTTAAGGTAACACATTGATATAGATTCGGTCAAGATCCTGTCTAACACCTTGTTCCATCTTGTCCCTCCAGCTGGCCACAGAGTGGGAGATGGTGTTCTTCATTGCTGCAGGAGTCTACCTGTTTGGTGCTATCATCTACGCAGTCTTCGCTTCTGGTGAGCTGCAGCCCTGGGCAGAGGGCAGTGTGCAGTATGTGCTGTGTTCTGATGATGACTACTCAGAGGCAGATAAAGAAGGGATGATACCAGATGAAGAAGAAGAGCAGGATGAGAAGAGGGAGACTGGTGATGGAAAGGAAGATGACAAAGAGACTTCAGATTCAGATTTTGTCAAGTGAGGGCTCTTTTGAAATTTTGTTTAATTTTCTAAATTGTTTTTCTTCTGTTTATTTATTATTATTATTATTATTATAAAACAGCCCCAAATCATATATTTTCCACAGTCACCAGTCTGATGGTCTATGATCTAAAGATCCCTTTGTGATAACTTCTTAAGTTTCATCAAGTACTTCTTTCTTTCTTCACCTGCATATCATTTCATATTGTTTTATTACAATGTTTGTTAAATACATACTGCCCATACATGCAGCTTCCCTTCCCTTGTCATTTAAGTCGTGTTAAGTTGCTTTTCTTTACATTGTTTCTTAGTTTGGAAAATGAAATAGAGTCAGAGGATACGGTTGAAAAAGAGACAGCTCCAAAACTGACTGGCAACGAAGCAAACCAATCATCCAAAGAGGAGATTTAAAGGGACCAATCACAAACATTGTTCCAACCAGGATTATGGAATCCTCTTGAATTTATCTAGTGTGTGTTCCAAAGAGCTCAGTGACATAACTACAATGATGATGTAATGTTAAGATTTTATTTGTTCAAGAGTTTATGGATTTTTCATGTTATTTATTCATTGTTTGTCACAGTATTGTTTTATGAGGAAATATCTATTGTTTTTTCAAGTATATGATATACCTTTTGACATGTATTGTCCGATTGTGTTTGCTCGGCTGTTCTTTATTCCTTGTTTCAATTAGATAGACTTGTTTAAGTTTCTACTTCCAATGTAACGTTGCAAAGTGATTCTCCTGCTGACATAGGACAGCTTGTCACATGGCAATTAGGAACAGATAAGGAGAAGAACTGTACAGACAGGACAAGGGTGTGCAGCTGCTACTCAGGTTTCAATGCACACTTCTTATCAAAGGAGTCAGGAGGTACATTTGTGTCCATCCTTGTAAGTGGCTCATTAGAGATGTGTACTCTCTAACCATGGTCTTTTCTTCACCATCCCCTACTTGACATGGCCATTGTACCAGCCACTCTTCATCCAAACTATTTTGAGCAATTCTGTTTGTGATAAGCACATGACTTCTACAAGGATCTCTTCTGATACTTTTATTCAGCAAAACTTCTGCACATGTTGACTCAGTTCAAATGTTATTGCCAAACCCAAGAAAGTATACTGTATGTAAGTGAAGATAACGGATAAAGAAATGTGGTTGCAGACCAAAGATGTGCATGTTTTGTTGTTCTTCTGTCTGCTAGTCAAGGTGGCATTTAAGTAGAATCAGCTGGAAACATATCATATCAGAGCTGTTTATTATGGATATTTCACTACACATTTTAATCAAGAACATATGTGACATGAAATTTTACTTGTCTTTTGTGAAGTCAGAAGTTGTTTGAGTTATTCTTATTTGTGCACGTAACATGGATACGTTGTTCATGAGTAAGATGGTATTTCAGCACCACGGACATGCACAGTGTATTGACTGCGACAGCGCAGTTGTCTCAGCCCCGTTTTCTCCTGTCCATCGGCGCGCTCTTCACCGACAGCCCGGCAGCCGGTGACCAGACATGCCTTTCTCTATTAGTTGTAGTCTCATTTCCGACCAATCTCCCATCCTGTCCGCTTCTGGGTGCCTTCAGCTGCCCAAACACATCACAGCAGATTCAGCGATGTTTCTCCAAGGCTTGCAAAAGCGACATCAGCAGCGAACTCGGGGGAATCGGGTCAATCGTATTACTGTTATGATCTCCTCAGCCAAAATATAGGACATATGGATATTTCCCCGTTTTGTCCTTTTTCAAAGTTCAAGCGAGAAAGAAAGTTTGGGGGCACTTCAAGGCGAAAACGGCGGTGCAAATGCTGATGCATCACTTGGTTTATAGATTGTATTGTTCCTTTGCTGTCCCAGCCAATCTTATTAACACCGTGTTGTAGAGAGTCTGTTTCTCGGTCATTTTGTGTGCACCTTGTGTGGCTCGGTCATCCCGAACGTTCTTACAACACGTTGCAGATAAGGGCGTTCTAATTATCACGGTAGATCGGAACCTGTCAGTAAAAGGTACATAAGAGTCTCTGACGCAGATGTAGCGGCCCACTAACAACACTTGATTGATGACACACGAACAAATGTCCTGATGGTCCAGATACGGGCGTTCGGAAACGACTCCACCTCCATGTTTATCGTGCAGAATGGGATAGATTTGCCGGGCTGTGTGCTTTGGTAGCGGAGATTAGCCGCAATCGGGATTGTCTGTTGTTGCTGGGAGATGTAATCGGGTAGGAAGATATCCGTGCAGCTGACTGTGGTTGTTGTGGAGATCGATGGCCGGACGGGTGCTAGGTCATGGGAGCCGCCCCAGCTGACCAGCACAGACAAACTTGTACAACTCTGACAGATACCAAACCAAATGGTTTAAAGAGCAGTAGACTGAGGAAATAACGACCAGCCTGATAACCCAGACAGTGTGTTAAGGAAAGGGGCAAGATGGCGCACTTGATAAAAGCACAATAAAGGCATGACCTTTAACGGTCGGGACTATATACAGCAACTTTCTCTTGTTTTGTCATACAGTTTAGCGCTCAAGTGACGTGGGAGACTTAAGGAGTTCTTCGTGGGCAAATTAAATGATCGCCACTTGATGATTTTGAAGTCGGAATAGACCTTTAATGGTAGGAACTACGGAACTTGTTTAGTACGGAAGCGATGTGAAAGACTTCTAAAAAAAACTTCGTCTCTTGATGCTTTTGCTACCTTACAATGCAAGAGGCGCTGGGTCCATAGCTGTTATCTAAAAGTACTATAAGGCGCCTCTTGTCGCAAAGTAAAACCTGATTAAAGTTTGGTTTATAACAGGTGAAGGTAACGAACTTCCTATCTTGCGCAATGAACAGACAGAGCATAGCTAAACGTTCACATTATCACATTGGTGTGTACCACATATTTGTCATTCGTCAGCTGATCCTCGTCTTTTTCAAAACTTTGTACATGTATAATCACTCCGTCATTCTTTCTCCTAGCTATTTCTGTTGACTTCAACATTTCTAAGACATTGTTAACCTGAGGTAGTTAACACGTCCTGGAGGCCTGCCCGGGGCGCCCGTGGGCCCGTGTTGTCATAAATCCCCACCCCGCACGCCATTCCGCCGGCTTACGGCTCATGATGGGACCGCCAAAGTTGGAAAGCCGGTGATGGATGAAGCCGCCATTGGTCAAGACCGGCCGCTGATTGATCGCCTGGATACTGGATCTTTGATACCAGTGAAGAGGAGCAGTGGGAGAAAACTCGAGAACATCGGCAGCGGAAAAAGCTATGTGGGGAACTTTGGCGACATCCGAGACATATGGCCGGGAGTTTCACTGGCCGTCTCATCTATTATTGATGTGGATGTGATAATCACTCTGGGCAAAAGGCACCGACATAACAATCAGACTTGTCAGGTAACGTGACCCCTCTTCTGATAGAAGCTATCACGCGCAGGTCTTGGTTATGGACACATATATTATAGATAGCGTGCTGACGGCTCGGTGTGATCACACCCGCCTTTATGATTTATTCATCTCTTAATTAATATATCTGACACGGGCGCCTCAGGACCATTCCTCATCTTTTTCACGCCGAGTGGCGCCGGATTCCTGCACACGGTAACATGTGATCCTGTCTGGAGTTCCACAGAGCTCTCACATGGACACTGTTTTAGACATCTCTGCAGAGGCAGTTTCCCCGGCCAGGAGAGATTTGGCGTTGATGGATGAACGGGTCGCGCTTATAAATGCGCGCCCCAGCACTTGAAAGGCCATACCTTTGATATTTAATAGATAATGTTACCCCCACATTTGACATATGTACCTTTATTACTCGCGCTGTTGGCCTAAAAAGCGGCCGGGTCTGGCGATAAGCCCGGGCACCCCCAGCGATCTCTGGCGCACCAAACTGCGGAGTGTATTAGGAAATGTCACCCCCATATTGATTGGAAAGGAAATGTGGTGTTATAACAAATAATCGCGCAGAAGATTGAGACGATAGTAAGTTTATAGAGCGCCCGGCGGGACCTGCCGAGCACCATTACCGCAGCCGGGGCCATTTGGGCAGATCAAAGAGCGCTGGACTGAGTTTTATTGCCGAGTAATAATCGCATTAATGAAGCGTGGAGGAAGGCAGTTTATCTGAAGTGATGGCTGTCACCGATACTACGCGATACTGGCATCACGTACGGAGTGCTGATGTTTTGTGAATGAGATCCGCGCGCCGTGCCGGTCTGAGGGAGAAGTATTAAAGCCCGCATGACTTCACATCGACTACAGACGTGAAAGTGGTCGGCGCCGCCATTCAAACACTATGTTTTACTTCTTGAGAGTTTAAGCTAATGCATTGACTTTTAGCTCAACAACATCCGAATGATTCAAAGAAAATGGTATTCATTTGAAGTCCAGTAACCCTTTATACTTTCTTGAGATCACCACGTAGGGAGCGACCCACATGGACTTACACGTTGATGGGTCTTTGCAGAAAGACAGAAGAAAAGAAATTGGAAACGGTCAAACAGAGATCGCCTTCTGTCACACAGAGAGCACCGGCTGTCTGTCACCTTCACCTTTCACGAGACCAAATTCTGTACGCCAGGGAACAAGTCATGCGTAAAGAAATTGTGCGATAGAAAGTTTTTGTCTGGTTCCAAGAATTAACTAATGCGTCTCACGCAAAACGCCTGCATAATTCTGGGGGCGAGACCTGTCCACCCACGCTCGCACGTAAGCAAGCCCAGAGATCAACAATGTCGCTACCTTCACTTCGAGTTGGTCTATTGTAAAGAAATGTTTTCACAGACCAGGGCCTGTTTTTCATAAATATTTCTTAGACTCTCCAAAGGCAAATATCACTCAGTTTGTCGTGAAACTGTTACTAACGAGTTGCGTAACTGGAACTCCATTATTGAACTGCCAGAACTCTTTACATGGTCATAACAAAGACAAGCGCCACACTCCTTGCGAAAGGTCATAGAAAATCAATACGCGTCCTCACATTCTCCACCAACGAGGGCTTCTGTTTGAATCACGGGGCAAGCATCGGCCAGGAGAGACAGAACACGTTCTAATGATGTCTGCTCTTTCTAGTACCCTATTGATACCTACAAATGTATGTCGAAGCTTGAGATGACCTTTAAATGTTAAAATATGTCACTCTTCTGGTATGGATGCGTGTACATTAGTTTAGCTTCGTCTTCACATTTTGTTCATGGTCTACAGATTGCTCTGATACGGAAATAATACAAAAATAACATATTAGTCTTGTTATGGTAAAAAAAAACACCAACAACGTCAGAAAACGAATTTGCCATTGTTGCATTAGCGTTTTGTCCGATTGCAATGTACTTGGCTCACGGTATTTATGGGAACCAACCACCATTGTTCGTTAGCCGGCAGTAGTGGACATGTACTGTACACTAAAAACAACCAATGTCATGAACAAAACCGGATAAAGCAGTGTCATTAAAGTAGCTCTACAAATAACAGTAATCTCCCATTAATGTCATATCTCCGGTGTACATCTCCATCTGCACCTGTTCACGCCATATGGTGTGGTCCCGCCTTATGTCACAAAAATACACTCTGAGTCTGACGTTCACCTGTCTACACCTGACCTTCAACCTGAGTTAGCTCAAAGCTCCCAATCATCACAACGAAGTCAGAAACACCCTGGGAAAAGTTGTGGTGTAACTCTATGGTGTACTACCAGTTCCGTGACGACTTAGGACCGAGTGTCTGTTTACAGTAGTGAGCAAAAGTGGGAAGGTCATCAGGTGGTGTTTGAACAGAGGTCGAGGTCAATGAACTCAGGTAGTATCACAAGACCAACATCAAGGCTGTAGACTAGTCATAGCCCAACAGCTAAAACAGCTGACTCAGTCCTACCAAGTCAGCAGTCTTAACTTGCAGTCGTCCATAATAATCACATCAGGCACCCTTAAGCAGAATCAATGTCTTCGGCGGGAATTTGGCTGCGGTAATGGACCTAGCGAATCTGCTCACTTCCGCCCCTCATCTCTGAAAGTGGATTGGGGACCCTGGGCCGGAGTCCCGGCGGACAGCGCGCCGGGCAGCAGGGCGGCAGGTCTACTTCCGAGGTCTGAGGAGGAAGCCAAAGCTGCTGCCCACTGACACGTAAAAAAGTAGCGGAAAGTTGGTCAAGAAAAGAAACTTTCTAGTCGTCCAGTGTTCGCTGGGCGTGAGATGTCCATCAAGTCATCCTTCGAATCTTATTTTGCCGTTATTGAGGAAACATGACCCTAACCTACAGTTTTGTAGACCTTTATATAGAAAACATGATAAGTACTCATTGTTCTAGCAAGAATTTGGCCAGTGAGATACGTTTTCGATAGCACGGAAATGCGGAGGTCTGAAAGAATCGCTCCACAGTGTTGTTCGTATGTGAATTGTCCCACGTTGTCTCCCGAATACTGTAGGTCGGGAGCAAGGTCGGCTACAGTAGCCTACTGTTCGGCTGCGCCGGCCGAATGTTTCGAAATTTTAAAAAGACC